GGGGGGGAGAGAGACGGGCTGCTTACCGGTGATGTTGACGGTGAAGTTGCCCGTGGCGGTGCCGCTGTCGTTCTTGCACGTGAGCGTGTACATGCCCGCGTCCGACTTCTCCACCTCCTTGATGTAGATGATGAGGAACTCGTCGAACACGGTGAGCTTGACGCGGCCATCGTCCGGAACGGGCTTGCCGCCCAAGGTGAGGCTGATATCCATGGGCTGGTCGCCCGAGTAGAACACCTTGATCTTGGTGTTCTCCTTCTCGGGCAGGTTGAGCTCCGCGGGCATGCGGTCGATCCTGGGCGGAGCTGCACAAGGAGAGAGGCGATTAATCAATATGGAGAACTGGCGGGAAAAGTGAAAGCAAAGGTAACAGTAAGGGTCATTTGACGGCGGGGGTACTTACTTCCAACCTTTACCGTGCAAGTGGTCCTGACTGAGCCGCACGGGTTGCTGGCCTCGCAGGTGTAGTCGCCCGAGTCCATGTCCATGACCTCGTGCAGGATGAGCTTGAAGACGCCGTTGTTGTTGTCCTCCATGCGGAAGCGACCGCCACCCGACACGAGCTCGCGGCCGTTCTTGAGCCAGCGCGCGGTCGGCGTCGGCTTGCCAGTGGCCTCGCACTCGAGCGTGAGGGTCTTGCCGAGGCCGCCGCACGCGTTCGACAGCGGGCGCACGAACATGGGCTTCTCGCCGCCCACCACCTCGCAGATCTTGACCGGGGTGGTGCAGGCGCTGGGCTCGGAGCGGCCGGCCGCGTTGACGGCGTACACTCGGAACTCGTAGTCGCCCTGTTCGACCAGGTTGAGCGCGGTGAACTCGCAGTCGGCCACGTTGTAGTCGTTGCACTTGACCCACATGGCGGAGCCGAACTCGCGCTTCTCGATGATGTAGCCCGTGATCTTGCTGCCGCCGTCCGACTTGGGCGGCTCCCACTTGAGGTCGGCGTAGTTCTTGCCCACCTTGACGACGGTGGGCGTGTCCGGCGGCGAGGGCACGCCGAACTTGGGCTTGAGCTTGAACCTGTCGGAGCTCTGCGACGGCTTGCTGTAGCCGGCCGCGTTCTTGGCCTTGACCCTGAACTCGTACTCGTGTCCAGGCAGCAGCGTGTACACGGTGTAGTTGTTGTCCTTGACGAGGTAGTCGTTGGCGATGCGCCACGTCGAGTCGTCGGCCGGGTCGCGGAACTCGACCTTGTAGCCCTGGATGCGTGCGCCTCCGTCGTTGCGGGGGCGGTCCCAGGTGATGGTGACGTTGCCGGCCGCGTCCCAGTCGGTGACGCGGGGCATGCCTGGCGGGTCGGGCACCGTGAAGGGGAACTTGGCCGTGATGGGCTCGTCCATGCCCAGCGGCTCGGACACGCCGTACTGGTTCTCGGCGCGCACGCGGAAGCTGTACTTCTTGTTGGGCTCCAGGCCGATCACGTTGTAGTGGCAACCGCGCACGAAGCTGCTCACCTTCACCCACGACTGGAAGAGAGAGAAACAGACGGGCGGGGATTAGCGGGGCGCTGTGATCGGTGGCGTGGCCAGAGAAGGGTAGGGGTGGGATACTTACGCCGCTGAACGGATCCATCTTCTCCACCACGTAGTTGGTGATGGGGGAGCCGCCGTCGTCTGCGGGCGGCTTCCATGTCAGCGTGCACGTGTCTGGGGTGATGTCGCTCACGTCCAGAGGGCCGATGGGCGGCGTGGGCTTGTCTGAGGAGAGAAAGAGACGGGGAGGCGTTAAATCTCCAACCCACTTCACACGCTCTACCTTTCAAGAAACCGATGCATATCAGCGGATGGCATAAGGCGATCGCGCACTCACCCACGACGAGGACACGGCAAGTGGCAGAGTCCGAGCCCTCCGTGTTGTACAGCTGGATGGTGTAGCTTCCCGAGTCGGTGCGCTTGGCGCACTTGTTGGTAAAGACGGTCTGCACGTCGTTCGTGTCGAACTTGATGCGGTCGTCCTGGAACACCTCGTCTGAGTTGATGAGCCAGACGGGCTTGGGCCGCGGGTTGGCGGTGAAGGGCACGGTGATGGTGAACTCCTCGCCGGCGATCACAGTCATGTCGCGGATGCTCAGGTCGCTGGTGATCTTAGGCGCCGCTGTGGGTGAGAGAAAAGATTGTGAGCTACACTGTTGAGAACCGCCCCGGAAAATCAAAACCAAACGAGTAAGCAAAACTTACAGGGCGGCGAGCGGCAGCAGATGGGGTCCGAGGATGAGCTCCAGGGCCCCTGGCCGGCGGCGTTGACGGCCGCCACGCGGAACTCGTAGTCCCGGTGCTCGATCAGCCCGCTGATCCTGAAATCACACACAAAATTAACATTAACTTACATTGCACTCTTTCGAATGAGGAGGCATCCACGTAAAGAAATGGTGGCCTGTACTAACTTGTGGTTGAGGTCGGGAATGTGGGCGTGAGACGCCTTGGTCCACTTGTCCTCGCTGATCATCCTCTTCTCGATGACGTAGCCCGTGATGGGCGAGCCGCCGTCGTGACGAGGCTTGGTCCACGCGATGGTGATGGAGTCCTCCGAGCTGTCGAGGCGTCGGGGCGCTCCCGGCGCGCCGGGCACGTCGAACGGATGGCGCGCGCGGATCGGGTCCACGGTGCTGGCCGGGTCGGACGTGCCGTACTTGTTCTCGGCGCACACGCGGAACTCGTAGTCCTTGCCGATGGTGAGGTTCTTGCAGCGCACGAAGCAGGTGCCAACGAAGTTGCTGACCGTGTTCCAGTTGCCGGTGCCGATCTCGCGACGCTCCACGGTGTAGTTGCTGACTTGTGCGCCGCCGTCGTCCTTGGGCGGGCTCCAGTACAGTGTGAGCTTGTCGCCGGCGAACTCGTCGGCGCGGAGGTTCTCCGGCGGCGAGGGACGGTCCAGGACGCGGACGTTGAGTGTGGCGGTGTCGAAGCCAGACGGGTTTCGCAGCTGCAGGCGGTACTGGCCAGTATCGCCGCGCTTGGCACCCTTCACCACCAAGCTGGCGTAGTCGTCGGCCAGCTGTTGGTGGATGCGCGGGTCTGACGAGTCCAGGATCGTGTCGTTGGCGAACCAGGACGCAGACGGCTTGGGGAATCCGACGTAGGGCACGTGGATGCTGAAGTCCTCGCCGGCGCGCACCGTGATGTCGCGGACGCCGCTCAGGTCGAGCACAGGCTTGTTGGCCTGTTCCTCGATGATGATGTTTGGCGACGGCCTGCTCGGCTCGGAGCGGCCGACGTCGTTGACGGCGATCACGCGGAACTGGTAGTCGTCGCCCTCCTTGAGGTTGGGCACCTTGAACGTCGTCTCCGGCACGGGCACGTCGTTGACGTCCGTCCAGTCGGGCTCTCCCTTGAGCTTCTTCTGGACGATGTAGCCCTTGATCTTGGAGCCGCCGTCGCTGCGCGGTGGCCGCCAGGACAGCGTTACGCTGTCCTTCGTGATGCGGTCCGGCTTGGGTGGTTCTGGTGGGTCCGGCACCAGGCGCTGGTGCTCGGCCGTGATGGGCTCGGTAGGCTTGCTGGGCTTGCCCGGGCCGGCCTCGTTGACGGCCACGACGCGGAACTCGTAGCGGTTGCCCTCGCGAAGGTCGGGCACCGTGTACGTGAGGTTGGGCGTCGGGTAGTTGTTGCAACGCACCCAGTCGCCGGTGCCGCGCTCCCGCTTCTCCACGTAGTAGCCCGTGACGGGCTTGCCTCCAGACACGGAGGGCGGGGTCCACTTCAGGCTGCAGCTGCTGGGCGTGTACCCGAGCACCTCGGGCTGGCCGGGCGCATCTGGCGGGTCGAACGGACTCTTGGCCACGATCGGGTTGCCCTCCAAGGGATCGGAAACGCCGTACATGTTCTCGGCGCGCACGCGGAAGACGTACTTCTTGCCCTCGGTGAGGCCCTTGACGGTGAAGGTGCACTTGGGGCAGAAGCCCGGCACCTGCCGCCAGTTCTCCACTGCGTACTCGGACATCTCGACGACGTAGCCCGTGAGCTCGCTGCCGCCGTTGTCTTCTGGCGGCAGCCACTCGATCGTGATCTGCTCCTGGTTGACGTTGGGGAACTGCATCGGCCCCTTGGGCGGGCCGGGCCTGTCCACGACGGTGACCTCGATGTCGGCCGAGTCGCTGCCAAAGTCGTTCTTGGCGCGAATCGTGTAACGGCCAGTGTCGTCGCGCGTGGTCTTCTCGATGCGCAGCTTGGTCTCGCCGGAGGTGGTCTCGGTCCAGACGCGGTCCTCCGTCGGCAGCTTGCTGCCATCCCGGGTCCATTCGCAGGTCGGGGTGGGCGCGCCGGACAGCGGGATGTTGACGCAGATGGGCTCGCCGGCGCGGACCTTGATCCTGCGGCCGATGAGGCCGTCCAGGTGCAGCTTGGGGCGCTCCCGCATGGGGCGCGCCGTGCACATGAGCGACGCCTCGCTGGGCTTGCCGGCGCCAGCCGCGTTGACGGCCGACACGCGGTACTCGTACTGACCGCCGTCGTGAACGCGGTCGTCTGTGTACTCCTGGCCCTTGACGGGGTCGCTGTTGAGCTTGATCCACCGGCCGGTGTTCTTGTCGCGACGCTCCACGTCGTAGCCGATGATCGGAGAGCCGCCGTTGGCGATGGGCGGTGTCCACTTGATCTTGATGAAGTCCTTGTCAGAGTCCACGGCCTCGGGGCGTCCTGGCGCGCCAGGCACGCCGAACTGGTTCTTGGCCACGACGGGCTTCTCTGTGTTGAGCGGGTCTGATCGGCCCTGCAGATTCTCGGCCATGACGCGGAACTCGTACTTGGTGCCCTCCAGCAGGCGAGGCACGGTCGCGTGGTTGTACTTGGCGTTGACGTACGACAGCGCTGGTACCCAGCCGCCACCATGCGTCAGGTCGCGCTTCTCCACGACGTACGCGCTGCAAGCAAATAAGACCAACGTCATGTACCTCCGTCTCTCACGTTTAGGGGAGGCTACACTGAAACAGCTATCCCCATGAATAAAAATTTTAAAAAATAGGGGGATATTATTTTCTTGCTCAATATGTCATGAAACTTTGTATGGTGTCTGTAAGTCACAGAGTTATTAAAACTGATTTCTGCGCACTCAATTTGGTTTAATCAGATCTTTAAGATTGTATTTGGTTTCGAATTTGACATTTTGGATCAATGTGAAATTTTTCAATGTTCAAAATT